TCACATATATTAATTTAAATTGCATGCAAGAATTTGGTCACGGATTTGATTATTTGAAATTTTGCATAAAATGTTAAATTATTTAAGAATAAAATTATCTTAGTTTAATGAATTATTTATATATAAAAAATAAAAGTGGGTTAATTAGTTAGCTGTGGGTAGTAAATATGGTGAAGGATGCAATAGATTTGCCTCCTCATTAAACATTTGCTGGATAAGGATTGGAAATGCCTAACTATCCGTATGTTTCGAGAAGATATTCTGTGTGCGGACTTGTTTATTAAGTTTACCTCCTCTTCAATCTCTTATATTCAAGTATTGTATGAAGCTCCTAGTTATCTTAGAGATAGTCTCATAGCTATACTTGGGAAGTTTGGTTCCATAAGGTGACCTAGTTTTGATTGGCTGAGTTTTTTTGTTTTGTTTTATTTTCTTTTCTCATTAATTTGTAACAAAAAAAAAATAGTTAGCACATCAAATGAACATTGAGCTAACCTATGAAATAGACTAAACTAATCTTAAATTAATAATATGTTTTAGTCTTATGGGTTAGGATATGAAGGACGAGTTGACCTATTTTGATAATTTTACTTGAGAAGATCTAATAATAAATGAATAAATGACTGGTTGTTGAAAATAGCATAAACACATTGTTTTCTATGTAGGTAACATTAATTATATATATCGTGAATGAAAAAATTGTTTAATAACATAAAAAATGTCAATTTCCTTATAATAATCACGTCAAACTCACCATGATGCTTAAAATAATGACTTATAGAAACTAAAAATAATCAATTTTAAATTTGAAAAATTAAAAATAAATTTATCTTAAATTTAAAAAATTGAAAATATATTTAAGTTTAATTTAAACAAAGTTATAGAAACTCAGTAAAAATTAAATTTTAGATTGAAATTGGACTTCAATCCAAAGCATTTGTATATTTAAAACCCTTGCTACCACTAAAACAAATTACTTGGATGGTAAATGTATGATCTAAATAAATTTCGTAGTATATTTTAAATTTAAAATTATATATTAATTCATGTGATTCACTGTCTCATTGATTCAGTATCTTGGTTGAATCAATGATCTATTTGAGTTTTTTAAAACATTGATTTGAAGCTGGAGCGATGATTCTAGGTGGGTGCTTTGCACACAGAACACTGATTTTATTTTATATTTTTGTTTTTTAACAGTGAAGATAAATAGATAATGACATGAGAGAATAACTAATGAAGGAGATGACACGCGACAAATAAGATTGTGTGGCGAGTCATGAACCACATCAAAAATTCGTCCAAATCTAGACTTGAGGTTTCAAACCCACCTCCATCATTCAACCCTATCATGCTCGACACATAATAACAATAACATTTATCCTAATGTTTTCATCTTATATATAATCATAAAAGAAATGTTTTCTCTCAATAAAGACGAAAAAAGGGTAGTATCTAGAAGCCATACGATTTTTAACTAATAATATTTAATTTGATTGTGATGATTAATAATTCAAAACTATTTTTCGATTATGTGTCTACGTGATGCAAAAATTTTCAGATGATTTCAGAAGTATGATTCAAATGGTTAAATTTTGTTTTAGAGTGTTTGATTCGGTTCTTAAAAATTAAAAATTAGGGACCAAAATTTCATATGTAATATTATAAAAGAATAAAATTATAATTTATTAGCTTAAAAGATTGAAAGTTAAAAACTAAAACAAGTTAGAAATATTCTTGTTTTTATTTTAAAAATTAAAAAAAGATATTAATTCTGAAATTATTTTTCATTCATAAATGTGAAAATAAATTATGTTGGAAGCATGTGACCTAACCTTTATTAAGATTAGGTTATACCAAACCCTTTTAAAACGTGAACTAGACAAGACAAATATTTTAGTATTTACATCTTAATGTTAAATTATTAAAAAAAAAATCTTAAACACGATTACAGGTAATGTTTTAAAATCATATTATTACTAATGTTGAGTTAGACATAAGCCATATATTTCTAATTAAAATTAAACTCACTCTTAGCAAACAAAGTCTGAGGTATCCTAACTATTTTTCACCCAATTTATAAATACTCTCAATAAACAATTTTTTTTCCCTATGTTGTAAAACAAAAAATAGTTTCTAAAAACAGGAAACAAACATGACATACTTTATGTACCGGACATTATATTTTTTGTTTCTACTTTAAAAATAGTAATTTCTAAAACAGGAAACAAGCTTAACAAACTCTATGTATCAAACACTATGCTTATTTATTTTTTTCTCTTGAATATAACATATATATATATATATATATATATATATATATATATATATATTTATTATGTTATAACTCTTATCAAACATATATATATGTTATAATGTTAGTTATTGATTGTAATTTTACTAGAGTTAGCCATCGTCCAATATATTTAATTTAAATAGTTTGCATATCTTATCAACACATATAATTTGATATTTATATATTTTTTTAATTAGGGACCGAAATTCAATTTTTATTTTAAATATAAAATTGGAATTGAGAGTAACACTTTATTTGTAATACGTATTAGATTATACTAAGTCTTCATTTTGCTGAGCTGTATATTCTTTTCTGTTTTTCTATAGCCTTTTATTTCTCATATCTATATATATGAGATGTATTTTAATTCATTGAAATATAACAAAGTGTTATCTTTTCTCCTTTCATCAATTTTACTTCTATATTGTTAATAATACGGGCCAATTATGATAAATGGAGTTATACCTCTTAATTATATATATAAAAAACTATTTGTAAAATATTTCATACTTTATTTTAAAAATATTTATAAAATAGTTATTTAAATTACACACGTACTTATTAATACCACCTTGAACATAATTAACTCTTATGATGGTTTTTATTTTTGGTATCTCCTTTCAACTTTTTTTTATAAGTAAAATATATTATTATTTGAAAAAGAAAAAACTTAGCACAAGAGTATTTAAGGTTAACACTGCACAAAATAATTACATTCATAGCATAACTCACATTAACATGCTTGCTTGCAAAGGACCGGTCCAACATATTATTAGTAACTTTAAAAAAAATTATAAAGTGATTTTTTTAATTAATAATAATACATTTTGATAAAAAAATAAAAATCTAAAATAATTTTAAAAAATATTAGATTAATATATCTTTTAAAAATAAGACTTGTAAAGTTAGTTTTTAAAAATATAAAAAATAATTTTTAAGTTATAAAACTTTTAAAAAAGTATGTAATTATTACTATAACTTTTTTTTTTTTAATATAGAAAACCTACAACAAGAGCTTAAGGGTTAAGCTTGTTATTATTATTATTTTTTTTAAAATATGCATAATGCTCGTGATCATATTTTTTTATTTATATTTATATATGTAATTAAAATTTATAATTGTTTTGATATAAAAATATATTAAAAATGACTTGGTTATTATTTAAATTTGACATATTTAGAATATGTAACCTCTTTCTTTAACATCAAATATTTCTATTTATACTAAACTTATTATTTACAAGTCTCATGATTTTCGTAATTTTCATTCTAAAATCTCATAATGATTAATATTATATTATAAAACTCAATTTATGTATAATGGTTAGGCTTGCAATCTAACCCGTCCTCGTGGGTACCTGCCCGAACCCGCCCCGATTTGGACGGGGAAACCCGTGTTTATCGGGTTCGAGATCGAGTTCAGGTTTTTCCCAATTGATAAAATCGGGGACGGGGGCGGGGACGGGGATGTTAATACCCACCCCACCCCTTCCCCCATACTCGCTTCCGCCCCCTGCTTAATAATATAATTAAAAAAATATTTATATATATAAACCAAAATTAGAAATATTTATATGTAAAAATTTATATTATTTTTCTTTTCTTTTATTTTTTTTAAAATTGTTCATATTTATTTAAAAGAAAAAATAAAAAAAAAGAAAAAAATAGGAGCGAGGACGGGGCGGAGAAACCCAAACCTCGCCGGAGGCGGGGATGTGAACCTAGATTTTACCTCCGGTGTATTGGGGGCGAGGACGGGGTGGTTTAAATTTGCGAGGGCAGGGGCGGGGAACGTAAAACTCGCCCCCGCCCCACCCCATTGCTATGCCTAATAATGGTGTTGATTAAATCTCTTGACTTGGTAAATATTTGATAATCTTTGAATTCAAACTACTAAATTGACCATTAAATAATGAATAAATCTTTTAAAAATATTTTTAAGACAATACATTTCAAATAATGTTTGTAGACTATTGTAATCCAAACATTAACATTAGAAAGAGAACTTAATTCACTCTTGTTCCTTAATTTATATTTTGATAAAAAGTTATTTTAATTATTAATGATTTATTTTAAAAATATTAAAATATAATTTAAAATAAAATAATAACAACACATTAAAAGAGGCAAGAGATTATATATAATAAATATCCTTTTTGGAATGCATATAAGAAATATCCTTTGAAAACGTTTTGATTGAACAAAAGTTTCTAAAAATATAATGATTTAAAGCTAACTCCTAAAAACTTTATCTTTTAATATAACCATTTGAATTTATATATAGAAAGTGAACTAACATCTCGCGTAAATTAAGAAAAATCCCACTTATATGATGATTCTTATTTTTTATTTATAGAAAGGTTCTTATTATGTCATATAAAAAAGTTTATGAAAATAAAAGTTAAATCTAACTTACGAAATTAAATAATTATTGTCACGAGTAATTTTTTGATATTTACCTGTCAATCACAATACATCATTTTACTCATTTGCTGCTTTTTCATTTGTGTTATTCACGTAATAATTCATACAATATTTTTTTTAATCTTTATATTGTATAATTAAATATGAAATTGTATAATTAATTATATTTCATATTTCTCTATGTTTCTAATCATTATATAAATTGTTTACAAAAGGACATGTTTTCTTCTTTTTTCTTAGAAGGTTTACTTGTCACCCCTCACTTATATATATATACACACACTTGTAAACACAAAATCACTTGCAAAAATTCCATATCCCATAAAACAAAGTTCTACCACTTGAGGTGTTTCTTCATTTCCCAACCACCAAAAATGGCTTCCATGGCTTTCTCTACCTCCTTCTTCACACCCCTCCATGATTTCAGCCAAGCTAGAACAAACCCTATTGCTCCACTCTCTTCCTCTTTCATCAAATCCTCCTTTGCTTCTTCCAAGTCAACTTTTTTTCATCCTGCCCTTCCTCTACAACCCTCATCCAATTTTCCCAGGCTTTTTGTAAAGCCCAGGTCTTTCTCAGTTCTTGCAAGAGCTGCCACAGAAAAAACCATTTATGATTTTACTGTCAAGGTACCATGCTCAATTTCAATTTCCATAGCTTATTTGAAATAAAAGTAAAGATGGGTCAGCCTTGGAATTTGAATTGGGGAAAGGGGGTGTTAAAATTGTTATTTTTAAAATTTATTACGCTTTATTGCTGTAGATAGTTTTACAGAAGGAGGAAGCCTTTTTTGAAATTTAGAGAAGAAAGTTTTTTGTTTTATTATTTTTGTTTGTTATGTGCTTGCTCACTGCTCAGGGTGTATATCATGTTACATGGTGCAGGATATTGACAGGAAAGATGTTGCTCTTAACAAATTTAAGGGGAAGGTTCTATTGGTTGTCAATGTTGCTTCACGATGGTATGCATTATGTACTCTTCTAGGGAAATGTGTGTATGTGTCACAATATAAACAAATCTTATATTGATAAAATAAGAGAATAAATAATTACTTATAAAATATACATATATTCCAAATCGAGAGATTTTTTGAGATAACCAAAACTAAAATCGTGAGTGTTTATGCTTAAAACGGACAAATATCATAAAATAACCCTATCAATATATGAAGCCTTATTTTTCTTATGGTTTTCAAATTCTTTGAATAAAATCAGTTGTAACTTAACAGCTGTGTAAAACTTTCTTGTCCATTATGATATCGTTGAATAATTTTCCTTCCTATGGCAGTGGTTTGACATCATCCAATTACTCAGAGCTGTCACGCTTGTATGAAAAATATAAAAATCAAGGTATGTTACTTATAGAGGATAGTTATTTGTTTATCTTCTTAATATTTTCGAGTATGACAGTTGGTCATGTTTTACTTTATGTTTGCACAGAGTCTGTTCTTGGTTCTGAATCTATCTATCTACTTGTACAAAACATTTTGTTCTTGTTGGATTCTGCATAAAAGTAGGAGAGTAGTGTTCCTTTTTATTTGAATCATCCAGGCACAATTTATTGATAACTTTAAAAATGAATACCGGTGTGAATGAAGTTTACTAACTGGGGTCTGTTTCTCACATGTTCTCCTATTCTCGTCAAAGACACTATCCAGTTGAGATGGTCACTTAAAACTCACATCTTTGTACAGAAAGTTACTGATTATGATTCTACACTATCTAGCTGTTTTTCCAAGTTTAAGGAATTATGTACGAGGTGAAATTCTTCAGTTTGCAGTTTATTCCACTATTATTGTTATTTTGGATTTCATTAGATATAAGAACCATCTGTGGCTGAAAAAGAAATACATACTTTTACAAATAATTTATTTGACAATGTTTTTGACTATAATGCCTTACATTAAGTATAAGTAGAATTTTGAGCAACTATTTTTCTCTTTAGTCGTAAGAAGATAAAAGTGAATTTTTTCAAAATGATTTTATAGTTTTTCATGCTGTGGAAGGGTAGAAGCCAGAAATAAAGACGTTTAAGGATTCCATTCATTGGAATTTAGGATTTTAACATGTCTGACATTATTGTATTGATTCCGCTGTCCTCTTTCCCAGGTGCATGTTTGTGTCATGCTTACTTGTTAAGGGTGTGCTGTATGCATGTTAGGGAAGATGAAAAATAGAAGTGTTTGGTTGGGGAGTGAAAGTTAAAAGATGAAGGAGTTTTCATTTTCCGTTGTTTTGTTGGACTCTTTATTGCATTTTATTCAAGTTGGGGTGGAAGATTTTACAAAACAATAGAATGCCTATTGTAGCTGCTCCGTTTTTGGTTTGATCTCTGTCATTCTTTTATCTCTACCAAGAAAGCCTCAAGTTGTTTATTAGCATGAGTAGCATTAACAAGGATGCTATATGGTGGAACATGAGTGACCTTTGTTTGGCCTTAGATGCGTCTCTGGTCTTTTGATATTTGAAGAAGATCTTTGGTTGTTTTATTATTGGGAAGTTAAGGAAACATTTACTTTTATTTCCGTTTCCTGGTTTCATTTTCTGTTTTCACCTTTTATTTACAAAATTGCCCATTTGTTTTCAATTTGTTTCCTGTTTTCAAATATTTATATAGGAAACAAATTGAAAACAAAGAGACAGTTTTTTAAATAAAAAAGTGAAAAAGGAAATGAAAACAAAAGTAAATGGGCCTTGAAAAATTTCCAGTGGACAGATTCGAAAGTGACTTAAATTCAATTTTTTTTTTTATTTTGTCGTGTTTATGAATATGATTCTAAGTTTTTTAGTTTAAAAGTAATATGTCTTCTCAGCCACACTTTCTTTCCAGGTTTGGAGATTCTAGCTTTCCCTTGCAATCAATTTGGCATGCAGGAGCCTGGATCAAATCAAGATATTAAGCAGTTTGCTTGCACTCGATATAAAGCTGAATTTCCAATTTTTGATAAGGTCTGACAATGTTTCTTTAGTTGGTAGTTCAGAAAAGTTTAAATACAAGTATATAAAGTAATAAAGTTCTATAAAACAGGTTGATGTGAATGGACCATTTACAGCTCCGGTTTACCAGTTTCTGAAATCAAGTGCTGGAGGCTTTCTGGGTGATCTTATTAAATGGAATTTTGAGAAATTCTTGGTTGATAAAAATGGTAAAGTTGTTGAAAGATACCCACCAACAACGTCTCCCTTTCAAATTGAGGTATGTTAAGATCCTCCCCAGTACATAGCAAATATCCAGGTTCTAATTATTATAATGGCAATGGAATATTAACTAGTGAAGTATGTCAATGTGCTTTAATAGTTACTACACAAGATTGAAGGTGAGAGCAATAGAGTATATGTTAATATTGGGAAAGTTAGCACTGAAAAATCAGTTTTGAAACTTTTAATGCTGAAAACTAGAATTTAATGTTTGAATGCTCGATATTTTTCATGCCTAATGAAATATTTTATGCTTATTAGTGTAGTCATTAACCTCTTGCATGCTGAATGGTTTCAGCAGTTCTCGCTTACATTCATCGCAAGAAGGTTGTAGGTATTGAACAAACAAGTTAATTATTTTCAGCATACTCGAGTTAAAATATATGCCCTACATCGGAGATACTTAAGGCAACATTTTTCAACGGCTCAATTATAGATAAAGTTACACTCTTCCGGTAAATTGTAGCACAAGTAAAGCTTCTAATTGTTGTTAGAACTGCATCAAACGTTGATGGGCTACATCTATTGAAGACGTTAGGGAGGGATGTTAAGCCCAAGAATTTTAGAAGGGAGACATTTACCAAATAAAGGAAACATGTATGAGATTACCTTTAGTCTTAAAGCCCTCAAAATTTAGAATCATATACTACCTTTGTTCCTATGTATAAGATTCAACTTAGAACAATTATTTGTTCCTTTATATAAGATTCAATTTATAATGTTTGATGTATTATCTATTTTTAGATTAAAATACTCCTAATTAAAACATGTTCTCTTAATTTGATAAAATACGTTAATTGTAGACTCTTTAAAAGACATGCATTCTAATTGGTCAGGAGAATAAACATAATTAATTATAAGAAAAAAATAGTACAGGATATGTACTTTAATTGGTTAAGAAAGAGGTTAATATTAATTAAGAGTGAAAAGTAGTAAGGGTAGCTTTGAAAAAAAAATATAAAAATAGGACAAATTTATTGTCATCAACTAGATTAACTATATTTCTTAATCTCGGTGAATTAGGTATTTGGATCATATATATATATATAATTATATATATATATAATTATATGCTAAAGTTGTTAAGTTGTTTATATTGTAAGTTGTCGAGTTTTTTGTATAATGATGTTGTTAACAAGATGAAAGTTTTGATGTTTGAGTTGCATCG